GCCCAGTAAGAGCCAGGGCTGAGGCTGATGTCTGGACCCACCTTCGGGCCTCAGGGCGCCCTACCCAGGGCGGCTGTTTGCACTGCTTGATGATGCTTCTGATCTGCTGTGTGGGTTGTGGGAAGTGCTCGGAGTTGAGTGTGGAATACCGAACCAGCTCTGGGGAGGCTGAAACTGTGAGGGCAGGTGGCCAGGTGAGGCCATGGGGCCCAGTTGACCTGGCCTATCTGGGCAGCCTCAGGACTTGGATGGACACTCACTGGATTCTGGAGCAGTCCAATCCTGAGCTAGGATGGGGGCAGCCACGGGCTTGCTAGGGATCTTCGGGGCCTTTGCCACAGAGCCTGGAGCCAACAACTGTGGAGTGGGACGCACGAGCACTGGCTTGGCTGGAGGGCCAGTGCCTACAATCTTCTTCCATGCCTCTGGACCTAGTGGTCTCTGTGGAGAGCAGGTCATGAAGTGGCCATCCAGGACACACCAGCTTACTCCCAGGTACCCCAGATCTACCCAAAGTGGACTATAGGACACTTGGCCTCAGAGACAGTAAAGCCCTGGGGTAACCCAGTATTCCTGTTTACCCTGGGAAGTGCTCTCCTCACCTCTGGGAGCTGGGATCTTGAGGTTGCACTTATGGGCTGCTGCTGGAGTGCCAAAGCCTGTAGGGTCATCTCCCGGGCCTGGGAATAGGTGACCAGGTGACCAGGTACACATGCATGCACACGCTCTCTCATGTACACACACACACACACACACACACACACACACACACACACACACACACTGTGTCCTGCCCTCACTCACCAGTGTCACAGCCTGCCTGTGGATGAAGGCTTGCTGCAGAGCCAGTGTGGAGGCATCCAGGCCTGGAACTGGGGAAGTGAACAGAAGTGGGCATGGATGCTGGGAAAGCGGGAGCTCCCTATGCACCACCTGCCCCTAGCCCAGAAGCATATTTAGGAGGCACTGACTGGGCTTGACCTTGGGGTCTGGTGGTCTCCGGGGGGTATCTTCAGAAGCACTGCTGCCACTTCCACCTGGCTGGCCCCCACCTTTCATGCGGTAGGCGATGGCTGTCGGCTTCTCCAGATCCTGGGGCAGCAGTGGCCGCCTCACTGCTGTGATCCCCAGGATCCATGGCAACAGGCACCTGGTACCAGCCCAAGTTCCCAACCCACCCCCTCCACAAGGAATGAATTGTGGGAGTCAGTGTCTGTTCTGGGGTTTCCTATGGCAAGGGAGTCTTATGATATTTGGAAACAGGTAATCCAGTGATCCATTCTAGGAGTGTGGCTTCTGCCAGATGTGACAGCTGGGGTTCTGACATTTAGCTGTGGGTCCTTCCATGGCATCCAGGGGCACCCCCAGCTGCCAGGTAACCCCAAGGTTTCCCTGCCCCCAGCACAAACCCAGGCTGAACCCCCTGCCCCAGGGCCCTGGCTGTGTAAGGCTCAGATGTCACCCTAAATGTGGATATGTCTCTGGTACACACACTGAGCCTGCCACCTGCAGACATCCCTCTGCATCCCTACCGCATCCCCACAGGCCAGCACAGGGTCGAAGAGGCTGTCCAAGTAGCCATCCAGCTCCCTGGGGGGCACAGTGGGCTCTCCAGTGCTGTCCACAGCTGGTGAAGACACAAAAGGCCCAAGTTTACGTTTCCTGTGGATCTCCACACCCTCTGGGTTCGGTTCCCTCTAATGTTAATGGCCATTGCTGATTGACCTTGGCGAGTTGCTGTCCATCTCTGGGCCTCAGTTTCCCCATTTGTACTGTCCTCATTGTGGCTGCAGTACCCATCAAAGTCAGGCATTTTGGGCATGTGGTCCTGGGGCTGGGGCCTTGTGGGTGTGTCCTCCTCCCAATCCCAGCAGTTCCCAAACACCCTGTGGATGAAAGGCACAGGACAGGTGACCCCCAAAGAGATTCCCTGATACTCCTGTGTGTCCTGGGCTGGGTGGATTCCCCAATCGAGGGGTGGAATTACTAGGCATAGGAGTGTACACCTGCAGCTCCAGGCTCCCAAAGCTAAAGTAGGAGAATGGCTTAAGCCTAGGAATTTGGGGCTTGCTTTGTTCAGATGACCAAACATAAAACAACACCACCTCCAGAACTCAGCCTTTCCCTACAGCTGGTGGGTAGAGCCAGCCACCCAGGGAAGGTGGTCTGGGCAAGTAGCTACATACCCTCTGGCATCTCCTCTGCCAGTCAAAGGCCCTTCTGCACCCACAATGAAGTAGGATTTCTGTCGAGGAAAGTCCCGGAGCAGTTCCAGGTCTGACACCAGATCCAGCACATAATCATGTCCAGCCAGCTCTGCCCACTGGACTCCGCTCTTCATGGCCACTGTCCAGCCCCTCCAACCATCAGCCAGCCCCCTGGTCAGTGTACAGAGGAATGGAAATAAAGAGTGAAACTATCAGGCATTGCCTGGAGATCCCGAGGTATGAATCAGACTCCAGACATAGCCAGAGTGGCCTTCTGGACACCCCCATGGTGCCTTCTGCCCCTCCCTTCTTCCCAGGTCATGGGGTGTCGGGTGGGGCATTCTAGGAGCCAACCTGTGCTTTAGAATGTCTCCAGCAACCGCTTCCCCCGTACTCCAGGCATGCACCGGACAGGAGAACTGGTCACCTGGCACAGCCAGTTGTTGTACTCAGTCAGGGGCATCTCCAGGCCAGCCTCCCTGGCTCCTATGCCCCTACCCCGTATCTCAACTCCCACTTCCCTGCACTGACACATTGGCATGAACCCCTCCCTGGCTTCAGAACCTTTATTGGATGCTTCTGCCTCCAGCTGCTCTTCCTTTAGGAAGAGAAGACAAGAGAAGAGAAGCACCCTGAGGGATAAGCCTACATACCATTGAAGCAGCTCACATCTAGAGCCATACTGGCCTTCTCCTGAATGGCAATCCACTCGAGCTGTGTGGGGGGGAAGGTGCGGGCAGCCCCTGAGCCCATAGCCTGCAGGAGGCGATGCTGGCACACAGCCTGGAAGCCATTCTGCCCATAATCGGACACAAACCTGGGGGAGGAATGGGGAGTTGGAGCCTATTGTAGACTCAGGCTAGTCCTTAATTCTAAGGTGAGTTGAAAAGGCCTCAGGTTAGCCTGGTGGTGGTGGCTCACGCCTTTAATCCCAGCACTTGGGAGGCAGAGGCAGGCGGATCTACGTGAGTTCGAGGCCAGCCGGGTCTCCAGAGCGAGTGCCAGGATAGGCTCCAAAGCTACACAGAGAAACCCTGTCTCGAAAAACCAAAAAAAAAAAAAAAAAAAATGCTAAAAAGGATCAGTGAAAGAAACACACCTTGGCCCTGAAACCAGAGCCAAATTTGACCCTAAACCTGTGCAGAAAACTAACCAATCCTTGAGCAGGAGATCTAGCCATCCTAAACTCAGGGATTGAAATCTGACCAATCCCCACCCTGGAAAAACTCCACCCCCTATATAAATCCTGTGTCTATTCAGTTTGTGGCTGTTAAGGTTGCCTGGCTGCCGCCTGCCACTCTGGAAGAGGGCAGCCACTCTTCTGGATTCTTCCCTCCCAATAAATCTCTTGAATGAAGTTTGGGTGAGACCTTCTTTCGCTGGGGCAAAGATGACCCTGGGCTGAGCAGAGCAGAGCAGGGCTGTAACACTTTTCCTCCAGAAACCTTCCCCTGGCTAAGCAGAGTTGTTATACTCTGCTCTCCACACCTGGGAAACCCTCTCCTGCTGGAGCAGAGCTGATACACTGGGGAAGCCTTTCCCTGAAGCAGTGCTATAAATCGCTATGCTTACTGTGACCTGTGGTATTCCTTGGTTCCCGATTGCCAGAACACCTTTTCATCCAAGCTGTAACACTCAGTATTCTGTGACTCCCGAGTGCCAGAATACTTTCCATCCAAGCTGTAACATTCAGTATTCTTTGGCTCCCAAGTGCCATAATCCATTCCTGTCCATCCCATCTGACCCATCGAAATGCTCACACTGGGTGACCACCTGCTCTTAGCCTGGCCTCCTAGTTTTCATCTGTGTAAGAGATGGCTGTGAGGGCCCCAACAGCTCAGGGCCAGTGTGATCTGTTCCCATCAGCAGGTCCTTCTCATGTCCCTATCCATTTTGCCCTGAGAGGGACCAGGGTCATGCTTTCAGGAAGGCCCCCCAGTCAGTGGCCCTACTTTGCTGCTAGAGCCACCATAGCCACAGTACTGGCTGAGGAATGGCCGTCTTATGAATGCTGTCCTGGAGAGGTTCCTCAGGATCTGGTGCCATTGCTATCCTGCTGGGTGGATCCTGCTACCATCCCCCACTTACAGCAGAGAAAAGAGAGGTACTGGCTCTAGGTCGTGTGGTAAGCTTGTGCACTATCTCTCACAGGCCCTGCACCTCACCGGCATCAGGGATACATTGTCAACATGGTCATGCCCAAGTGGCACTTGCCATATGCCCATCTCTGTTCTGCGTACATAGCATGTACTACAGAGTAGTTGCTATCATCATCCCCATTTTATAGGGGACAAAACCAAGGCCTGGAGAAATTAAGTAATTTGTCCCAAATCACAGAGTTGAGCTTGGGATTTGCATCTCGATTGTCTGAGTCTGGCTGGCCTCCTAACCCCTGTCCACCCCACAATCTAAGAGACCTAAGAGCTAAGAACTCTTTTCTCAGTTCTCCACACCCCTGTTTTGCCCCACCCTGGGTTCTGTCAATCTTCATCCATTCTGACCTGGTTCCTCCCCTCTGCAGTAGAGCCCTGCCTTTCTTGTGGCTCTGGGCTCAGTAAAGTGATTGCAGCTCCGACTGCCATCCATATTGGTCTTCTGGCAACAAAGAGGCACCCATTGGCCTGACCTCCAAACTCCTACCTCCAGTCACCTGTTGCCCCCTGGGTTGCACTCACTTGAGGAGGAACTTGTCAAGGTGTGAGGAAGGTGCGAAGCCACTTAGGCAGGCAGCTAGCAGCAACCAGCCACGCTTGGCATTGTAGGCATTGTGATTGCGCCACACCTGGTTGGCCAGCTGGGTTAGGATCTCATCCCTCAGATCTGGTTCCACCAACCCCTGGTGCACAATGTAGTTCCCCAAGATCATTTCCTGGATGCCATGCAGGTGGGGGTCTCCCATGAAACGCAGGATCTAGGGCACAGACAGACTCTTGTGGGCTACTGCCCACATTTTTGTCATGTTCTCTTGCCCATAAAAAGTCCCTCATATTTCAATATCACCCTACTATTCAATGTCAATCAGTTAGCAGGAAATTTAGGATCTAAAGTACACACTGACTTCCTCTCCTGACCACAACCCCCCTGCGGCTCCCATTCATTGTCAGCATTATTTGGTACCTCTGGCCTCCAGCCAGCTCCACTTGGTCTAGAGGGTTCTCTAGCATTCAGACATGACCACATCACTCCCAGGAAACACCTTCCAGGGCTCCCCAGCTCTTTGGTGAAATGGGACCTGGGGGCCTTCAATCTAAGCCTCACTGGCCACTCTCCCTTTTCTTCCCATCTCTCCTATCCCGTTCGCAATGAGTTCCTTCTTCCCCTAACTCTCCTCATCTCCAAAGCCTCCTCCTCCAGGCTGCCTCCTGTGGCTTGCCTGCCTCCTGAGACTGGACCTGGGGCCTTGTTTGTGTTCCCAGCCTCTGAACACCCTCTGTACATGTTAATGGTCCTGGGTCAGAGCAGGGACTGGCCTCCTCTACCTGGGCAGTCATCAGGAGGTACCAGAGAGAGACTCTGAAGCAGCAGTGCCAGGGGGGTGGCTGGGGGAAAAGACTCTCAGAAGGAGGCCCGGGTCTTTACACTGACATATAGCTTCAAGAAGAGGTGTGGGACTTGAAGGCCAAGGAGGATGTCCAGGGAATCAAGAGGAAGCTTGTAACCTCCTCTTGTAACCCTGGGGGCAAGGGTACTTGTGGCTTGGCATGTGGTAGGGTTATGGACTGGGACAGATGCCATACTAGCTTAAAGACACTTATGGCTTCCGAATGGTGCTCCACAGGTAGTCGTGTGAGAGGCATCTTCAAGGGCACTGTCAGCATCCCAAAGGAGGGTTCCTGAGGACACAAGGAGGGCATGTGAGGTGACATTGGGGACAACAGACATATCCATGTCTATCCCATCTTGTGTTGGGCAAGAGCGCAGGAGACCATGGGGCTGGCTCCCACTCAAGTGCCTAGATGAAGAAGCTGAGTTCTGGTGAAGGCAGACTATGGCCCACAGAGAGCAACTGGGGGAGGCAGAGCAACGCTGCCGGGCCTTTCTTGGAGGGCAGGACACAAAAATTGGCTGTGCCAATTCCTAGTCAGTTTCCGCTTATTTCTGATTATCCTAGGCTGGTTGGTGAGCTATACAGCTGGAGTCCAAGAGGGCCTCACTTCTGTTAGGGCCCTAGGGCTCCCAATGAGCTCTTGTGCATACCACAAAAGCTTTCAGGGAGGCTGTGTCAGCTCTGAATTTCAGTGCCCAGGGGTCAGGCTGCTTGTACAAGCTCTTACCTTGAAGTGGCATCGGACAAACTTGGCCATGGGGTAGTTGTTGATGTCAAGGGGAAGTGTGGCACAGGGCTCAGCCTGGAGCCTAGGAGTCCGGACGATGGCTACTTGGGGCATATTGGACAGCTTGAGGCCTGTAGACAGTGGAAGCATGTAGTGATTGCACCCTTTCCCCCAACACTTCCCCGCTGCTGTTAGAGGTGACACACCTGCTGCTGCTTGTAGGAGCCCAGCCACCTCAGCTGGCACCTCCAGGTGTGTCACTGGCACCACTTCACGCTTGCTGAGTTCCTGGAGGGATGGGCAAGGGGTGAGGGGGCAGTCGCCACACTTCACATGCTGGTTTCCCTCCCTGTCCCCCTGCTGTGGCTTGGACTCTGCACCCACCTCCTGCTCACGCAGCCATGCCTCCTGTGCCCGGCGCCTCCGCTCTGCCCTCAGCTGCAGGAGAGCAAATGGTCAGGGCACAGGTGGCAAAAACCATGGCCAGGTAGCCTGGGCAGGCGCGAGCAGTAGGGAAGGGCCTGTGGCCTGGAGGGGATGACGGGACCTCAGGCAAAGGGAGGCAAAGGCATAGCCAGAGATGGGAGGGGATACATTGGCAAGACTCCAGGAAACCTTGTTTCACTGAAGACCTTGCATGCCTTTCGAGCTTTGGGAATGGAATGACATTTATTACTGGCAGTTGGTTTATGTGACAGAGAACAAGACTGGCAGGGAGCTAAGTACCAAATCACACTAAGGAGATTCAAGTTGCCCAGTGCCAGTCATGATGACCCCAGTGCTGGCTACATCTCTCCATACAGCATTCCTTCTACCCTTTCCATGCCCCAAAGGACATGCCAGGAAACAGGCCTCAGAGGACCACAGCAACCACCTCAGGAGGAGGGCATGGCAGGGACTTGTACTGGGGATGGGCTCCTCTTGGGCTAAGTGCCCCACACACCCCTGCTCCAACCCAGGCAGACCTGTACCTTGAGGTATCGGCGCCGTTTCACATAGGTATGCACCAGGGAGCGGAACTTCACCAGACTCTGCCTCATCTGCTGGTAGCGTTGTCTGAGGAGTCAAACATGAGGCCATGGGGTGACATAGGGTCAGAGATGCCTCTGCCACTGCCCATACTTCCACTCAGGGATCCTTTGTCTCAAAGGAAAATGAGTTCAATGTGGGACAGAGACATAGCCAAATCCACAAAGAAAATCTAGTGGTAGGGCCTGGATTGATCCTCACAGTGGTCACGTACTAGCCCATCATGTGATAGTCTCAGAGCCCTGATATGAGATCTGACAGAGCATCTCAGTCGGATCTACAGTCAGCAGTGACTTGGAGAATCAGATCATCCTTCCAGGGGAAGCCTCTTTAGCTTACATGCCTCCAGAGACAGGGAACTCATGTTTAAGCTTGGGCTCCTCTGAGACTGGAGGACCCCAGAGACTTCCCCTTCTGTGGGCCTCACCTGGCCAGGAAGCCACGGGCCCTGCTCTGCAATAGGATGATCTTCCGCCTCAGGGAACGAAAGTGCCGCTGGATGAAGAAGCCTCGCAGGTAGCGCTGCAGAGTGAGGGCAGCTCGGTTCTGGACTCGCTCCCTCATACTCTCCAGCAGCTGGTGCAGGTGCTCCTTGAGGAAGAGCTGGTGGTGGGAGGTAGCAATAGATACTCCTATTGAAGAGCCCACAAAAGCAGAAGACAGGGCTGCCTCCCGGAGCTTGGCTGGGAGTTTAGAGCAGCAAGAGCTAGGGTACCAGACATTGGGGAGCCACCCGAGCAGAGCTGAGGTGGATAAACATTCCAATCTTACACATCAGGATGGCTCTGGGGTGTCACTGAATGTGGGTGTCTCCAGAGCTCACCTTGCTAACCCCAACACGGTACATGTCTGAAGTGACTGTGCATAGCCGGCTCAGCAGCGACACGCACATGTCCCCATCCGCTGGCACATTGAGCTTGAGGGCCACCAGGCAGCGGTACCTGGGGGACCAAACTCAGTCTGAGGGTCCGATGTTACTCCATCCCCATGTCTGGGCTAGGCAGGGGTGTGGTCCAATAGGTGGCTTGCTCACAGGACTGTCCTCAAAACTAGTTCAAGGTATCAAAACTAATACACTGTTTCAGCAGAACAAACCCTTTACTGACACCTGCTGGAGCTTGTCCTAATAGCTATTAAAATCAACCTAGATGGGTTCAACTTGGAAAACAAAGGTTCCTGTCACCAAGCCTGACAGCTTGAGTTAGTCTCTGGCAAACTCATCTCTTCCACATGATGGAAATAGAGTACTGACTCCTAAAAGCTGTCCTGTAACCCACACCCACATTGACACAATTGAGCCACCACCCAGTAAGTGAATATACTTAATAAAACAAAAAAGAAAGAAAGAAAAAATAAAGGGAGGAAGGAAAGAAGGAAAAAGGAAGGAAGGAAGGAAGGAAGTATGGAAGGAAGGAAAGAAGGAAGAAAACCAGCTGGGTTTTTAATCCCAGCACTCAGGAGGTAGAGGCAGCCATATCTCTGTGAGTTCGAGGCCATGCTGGTCTACAAAGCTACACAGAGAAACCCTATCTCGAAAAACCAAAAAGAAAGAAAAAGAAAAGAAAACCACACCACAACAAATACATTTTCCATGTCAAATCTAACATGTCTTGTATAGTATACAGCCTGAACAACAACAGTGCATGACTGATCCTAGGAGAGAAATCTGTGTAGCTAGGAACTACCCAGTTTACCTGTCGATAAACACCTGGAAGGGTAGTCGCACTGGAAAGCCTTCCTTGCGGATCCGCACAGTCTCCAGAACCCCTGAATAGCGTAACTGTGCCATCATCACATCTGGCTCAAAGAGACCAGGTTCCTAGACGGAGAGGACATCTGCATCATCCACTCAGGTATAAAGGCAGGGGTGAGTAGTCCTGCAATGGGCAGGCAGGGGTCCAGAGAGGCCAAGCCACTTCCCCAGTGTCACACTTCCCAGGGGCCTCACCTTCTTATGGTTGGGTTTCAGGCAACGCACGAACAAGGGGTTGCACCTGGGCAGAGGCGGGAGAGGTGGCCTGAGATCTCAGACAAAGGGAGGAATGCCTCATCCACTCGAGGCCTTGGGATAAAGGTGTGGCTGGGTGCTCTGCCCTCCCACCCAACCCACCTCTCCATTTTTTCCACCAGATCCAGGAGTGACTGCTGGAACTTGGCTGCCACAGTGTGAGCCTTGTAGAGTCGTGTAATGGAGCTGCTCTTGCCCAGGCGTGGAGGGGCAGTCTGTGCAGCATAGCTGGAGAAGAGGTGTGCCACCACCTGGAGGGGCCAAAGTATTGGAAGCCAATGACAGACAGGGCAAACAGACAAGTGGCGGGGTGAGGGTTGGGGGGTTGAAACAGGGTCAGAAAAATGGGAGGCAAGTCCCTGGACAAAGGTTCTGAAAAACAAGTGAACTCCAGATGTCTCCTGCCATCCTAGCTTGCATATAGGCTCAATATCTCCCATGGCTGCTTTTCTCTTCCTTTCTGGGGAATGCACAGCACGGTGAACATGGCCCTGCTCAAGAACTTTGGCTGGTTTGACAGAAAAGGAAAAGGAGAGCCCACAGGGGAGGGGATGCAACCAGTCCTTTTGTCACAGGTCCATCTACTGAAGAGCAGTGGGGCTGGCCTTCCAAAGAACCCAAATTTATCCCCTATGCACTCCCCAGAGAGTCAGGCTTCAAACACAAATGAAGAATCCAGAACTTAGTCTCAGTGGTAAGCTGGTTAACACTGAACCAGGTCAGAAGGGTCTCAGGAGGGACTGAGGTGGGGCCCATGGCAGGTGGCTGAGGCAAGGGTGAGTTAAGGAGCAAGACCAGTGACTTCCCCTTTCCTGGACTGGGGTGAGTGAGGATGGTGGGGTTGGGAGGAGGGTAGCTAGTGGAGGCTGGATCAGGTAAGGAGCAGCAGGTGCTGCTGGGAATGTGGGCAGGGGCACTGGTGTGGGGCAGGTGCGAGGCCCGGCTGGCTTACCCTCGTTCGGCTGCGCACAAACAAATCCAGCACATCCTGGCGCACTTGGTCATGGTTTTTGTCAAGGAACTTGTGCACCTGTAAAAGGGGACTGGTGAGTCTGTGGCTGGTCCCACTCAAAGGCTCCATCTCAGCCCTCTGCATTCCTTCATCTTCTATCAGACTTCCCATCTGCCTTCTAGCCTAAGAGGGAATGGGCCCTCCTCTGTCCTGACCTCTCCTTGTCTGCTCTACCCTGCTCACTCTTTGGGGGCAGGTACCACCCAGACTGGGCTTCACTTCCTCCTACCCATTCTGCAGATGAGGAAAATAAGGTCCTAATGGAGACAGAAGCGTGTGACTTGGATAATAACGACCACATGACACCATTACCAGTAACAGGGACCCAGGCACTCTGTCAAATCTACCCCAAGTCTCCACCTCTACCTCAGAAAATTGGCATTATTAGCCCCATTTTTCAGATGAGGAAACTGGCTCAGAGAACTCAAGCAGTTTCCCAAGGTCACACAGCCGAGGGGCTGCAGCACCAGAACTAGAATCATGGTGAGGCCCACACTGCGGTTCTGTCTCCAGCCGGCAGGACACAGTACCTGAGGTCATGCTGGCTGTCTCCACTCTCACCTGATAGGTGACCTTGCCTGCATAGTGCTTGATGGTAAACTCTGGCAGTGGCATCTTGGGCTTAGAGTAGAGTGGGTTGGCGCCATGGTGGTAGTGGCACTTCTGCAGGAATGTGTGGTCTGTGGCCTGCAGGGGAGGGAGGTGAGGGGGGAGGGGCCACACTGGGCACCTGTTCCTGGCCCAGTGCCAAATTCTTCAGCCCTGATTGCTCTGCTCCCCAGAGGGTGCTGGAGAAGAATGGCTCACAGTCATGGGAAGCTGAGTCCCGGGAGTGAGGCCCACAGCTGTGACTGAATTTGAAGATTTCCACCTGCCTATATGCTCTCACCAGCATCATACATACCCTGTGCTTAAGTCAGAGTATGTGGTCCAAACCCAGGTCACCTCACCTGGAACTTCCAACCTGAGTCACTCCAGGTGACTAAAGACCAGTGGTTCTCAACCTGTGGGTCTTGACCTTTTGGGGGTCGAACTTTCACAGGGGTCTCCTAAGACCATTGGAGAATACGGATATTTACATTACATTTCATAACTAGCAAAATTACAGTTATGAAGTAGCAATGAAAATAATTTTACTGTTGTGGGTCACCAAGACATGAGGACCTGCGTTAAAGGGTTGCAGTATTGGAGAGGTTGGGAACCCACTGCCGTAGATGATGCCACAACACCACATTTCCTGCCCAGGCTTGAGTGCAGAGGGGTGGCCTCAGGCAGGGAGTCGGCCAGACTGGGACTCTGGCCACAGAAGCAGCTGAGGTTTACCTGTGGAAAGCAGCACTGGTCATCCAGGATACGCAGGATGCCGTAGGGCTTGAGGGAGATGAGGTTGATGCAGGGCTGGTTGTCAGCAAAGGCGATCTCTCGCCAGTCCATCTGCTCTCGAATGTACTCTTCCTGCGAACAGTGTGGGTTCAGCACCTCCACCCAGGAGGACTTATCTCTGCATCCTGCCTTCTGTAACATGGAGCTAGTATCCTACCATGACAACATGGACCCTCATGGCCTCCCTTTCCCTCTTCCTGGGTCAGAAGGGACTGAGAAAGATCCTGAGAGAACTCCTCTCTAGGCTTAACAACCCAGGACTTTTCCCTCCAAAGCACCGGCCTCATACGTGCTGCTCCTGCTTGTCACGCCTTTCTCTCCATGTTTCCTGACACATTTTGTGTTCAGGGAGGCCCTTGAGCAGCGAGGACGGACAAGCTGGAGTGTGGAGGCTGCACACCTGTTCCTCCTGGAAGACAATCTTGTTGAACAGGTACTGAAGGTTCTCGTTGGCATAGTTGATGCATAGTTGTTCAAAGCTGTTGAAGCTCAGGTCCTGGCAGGCAGATGGGAGGCAAGGTCTGGTTCCTCCCTGGTCAGCAACCCATCTGTGCCCATCACAGGCCCCGTGTACCTTCTCTAAACCCAAGCCCAGGCTACTCCCTGCATTTCATGGCTGTTGTTTCAAAAAGTTGAACCCTGACCACAGACCCTGTAGGGCCCTCTGCCCACCAGATGGGGTCCAAAGAAGAGCCAAAAGCTCAGGCCACTGTGCCTTCTGCCTGGGTTCCAGTCCTGGCTCTGCCACTTTCTAGCTGTAAAATGGGGATTTTTTTTTTTTTTTAATATTTACTTATTATGTATACGGTGATCTGACCGAATGCCAGAAGAGGGCACCAGATTTCATTATAAGTGGTTGTGAGCCACCATGTGGTTGCTGGGAATTGAACTCTGGACCTCTAGGAGAGCAGCCAGTGCTCTTAACCTCTGAGCCATCTCCCCAGCCTGTAAAATGGGGATCTTGGCAATACCTTCCTTACATAGCTTTTGGATGGAGTGGCTTTATAAACAACGGTGCCTGGCACACACTTGTGCCTTGTGAGTGTCTGTTGTGGTTTTACTATGGAAGTTTTACTCAGCCTTTCCCCATTATCCTCACTAAGTACAGCAGTCTCCCCCACAATGACATTGGCTCCCCAAACAAGGTATCCCCATGCCTCTGACTTCTACAGATAGAGTTCCTGCACCTAGGGATGTTTTCTTCTTCCAGAAAGTTAACTCTGACCCCTGCCCAGCTGAAGTAAGGGCTTAAGGGCTCCCCAGTGCTAGCTACATGTCAGAACTGTGGTCACATAAGTCTATTACACACTGTCCCCAATCAGCATCATTGAGTAGCTTCCTAAGGGTAAGGCCCAGTCTGGTCCTACTCAGTCCTACCTCAAAGCCATAGATGTCCAGGATGGCGATGGACAATGTATCATGCTTTGGAGACACTAGAGCGTTGACCCTGGTGATGAGCCAGCCAAACAGCAGTGCATACAAGACCTTGGCGATGGCATCCCTAGAGCAGAGGCCATGTTGGGCTGGTGGTGAGTGGGCTCAGGGATAGTGGGGGTCTGGGACTAGGGCAAGCAGGGTACAGTCTCACCTGGCATCTACGGCACTCTCTACAGTTAGGGGAGTGAAGATCTTCTCTCGAATTGTCTCCTGGGAAGAACATGACCTTTGAGTGACAGCTGGCTGGCCAATGCCTCAGAAAGCCCCTGGAGGGCTGGGGGTTTAGGAGCATCAGAAAGGTACACTAGAGATATGGGATAACTGGTCTCATGTTCACTGCTGGCCAAAGCAGGCCAGAATGTGTTCTCTTCACCTGGCTATTCAAGCAGGAGAGGGGGCTGCTGGTATAATAGGGAAGACCAGCATAAGAAGACACCAGTCTGGGAAGAGGAAGGAAGAAGCTCTGACCCAGCCAGCATCAGAGAAGGCTTCTTGGAGGTGAGCATGTCATGTGTGCTGGTGTCCACCCCCAACTCAAGCCACACTGGTAGGAGTGGAAGAATAAGATAATCAAGGCTGGGAAAAGCCCATGTGGAGGCCTGAAGTGAGGCGCCCTCTCCAGATTTGACTGAGAGGAGGGGGTGAGGTGGGGAGGGAAGGGAGCTGTGACCCCAGAGGAATAGGCCCTTGTCAGGATGCAGAGCCCTCAGACTCACAGTCACTTTGAAGGTGATGGCCTTCTGCAGGCCCTCAGGGGAGACCTGAAGCAGTTCTGCCACAGCCTGGATTTCCCGGGCGCTTACCACAGAGGCCACCTCCTGGGCATCAGTCTATGGAAAACACCAGGGCAGTAAGCCTGAGCTAAACTGGTTGGGCTTATAAAAATAGAAACAAGCTACAATGCCAGAGAAAGCCTGGAAAAGAAGTGGAGGAAGCTCTCTGAGGTAGGACAGACTACAGACATTAATTCAGCCTGGTGGGGGGTGTGACTCGGGAGTAGAGTATTTGCCTAGCACATGGGGGGTCCTAGGTTCCATCGTCAACACCAAAATAAATATGCAAAGCAAAATAGATGGGCTACAAATACTATGTGTGTAGATAGATGGTGCACATTAGTAGATATGGAATTGGGGAGGTGGCTCAGTGGATAAAACACTTGCTGTGCACGTGTGAGGACCTGAGTTCAGATCCCAGCACTCAGTAAAAGCCAGGCATAGTGCTGCTTATCTGTAACCCCAGCACTGAAGAGACAGATCAATTCCAGGAGCTCAATGACCAGTCCACTGGAAATGGCAAGCTACAGGTTCAGTGAGAGAGCCTGTCTAAAAATATAAGGTGGGGAGCAATAGAAGATACTCAAGTGTTGATCCCTAGGCTGCATCACACGGGTATGCACACACATACACACACACACACACACACAAGACAGAGACAGAGATACTCAGCAGTCAGAAGAACTTGCTGCTCTTCCAGAGGGCCTGAGTTTGGCTGCCAGCACCACATCAAACAGCTCCCAACCATCTGTACCTGCCTCTGGGAGATACAATACTTTCTCCTGGTCTCCTCAAGCATTTCTACACACATGGCACACAGACAGACAGACAGACAGACTTCTTGGCACCAGCAAGCTATAGAGTCTACAGTATCAGAACTTGGGTAGGCTGAGACAGGAGAACTACATAGCAAGACCTTGTTTCAAATAAAACAAAATAAAATAAAAAGAAAACAAAAATCCAAACCTAACAACAAAATGTTAGTCTAGAATCAGGTATAAATATATCTGGCAATCTGGCAATTGTATACACAATAAATACCTGGTTTTCAAATTAGGATAAGGACAATTGCATAACCATCTGGAAATTAAGTACACCAGATTCCCATTTCATGCTTTACTACAGTGGGTTATTATTATTACTATCATTATTTTGGTTTTTCAAGACAGGGTTTCTCTGTATTGCTTTGGAGCCTGTCCTGACTTGCACTGTAGACCAAGCTGGCCTCAAATTCACAGAGATCCACCTGCCTCTGCCTCCCAAGTGCTGGAATTAAAGGTGTGCACCACCAATGCCCAGCAGCAATGGGTTGTTATTTTAAGACTTATTTTATTTTTAATTTGTGTGTGTGTGTGTGTGTGTGTGTGTGTGTGTGTGTGTGTGTGTGCACACGCGCACGCACCCAAGCACATGTAGGTGCAGATACCAATAGAGACCAGAATAAGGGTATCATATCAACCTGAAGTTATAAGTTGGTATGAATTGCCCAGCATGGGTGCTGGGAACTTAACTGGAGTCCTTTACAAGAGCAGCAAATGTTTTTAGCTATTTGAACTATCTCTCAAGCACAATTAAAAAAAAATTAGCCCTGTGTAGTGTGGCACATGCCTTTAATCCCAGCACTCAGGAGGTAGAGGCAGGCAGATCTCTGAATTTGAGGCCAGCTTGATCTACAAAATGAATTCCGGGACAGCCAGGGCTACACAGAGAATCCCTACCTCTAAAAACAAAACTGAAAAAATTTTAAACATTTATTTATTTGTTGTGTTTTTATGTGGGTGTACATGCCCTGGTGTACATGGAGGTCAGAGGACAACTTGAAAGGGTTCGTTCTCTTCTTTCACCATGTGAGCCCCAAAATGCTTTTACCCAAGGAGCCATCTTTTTTTTTATTTTTTATTTTTTTTGAGACAAAGTCTTTTGAACCCTCAAATTCAATGCATAGCTGAGGATGAACTTGAACTTCTGGTCTTCCTTCCTCCACTACCGCTGTGTAGCACCCACTTGATTTTCTGGGAGGGCAAGGATCAAATTCAGGACTTCCTGCATACTACATAAGCACTAGAGAGAAGGTCTTTTCTCAAAATGACCCAAAAAAAAACCCCACAATGTATGAGAAAATATTGATAAAATGCCTAAAAGTAATTTTAAAATATCTACATGGTAATACTCTCAAAGAAAAATAACAAACTTACAATAAACAAAATCAAAACATGAAGGATATGTTTTTAGTTATCTAAAAATAATTGTCTGGCTTTTCTAACAATATAAAAAATTCTCACATATCACGAGAAAAGAACATGCCTAAAGAGGAGAAGACACGTGCATTGTATAACCAGAGAGGAAGCTTGCAGGCCTGGGTGTGGCCTTGCAGATTGAGCACCTCTTACCTCATGCTTCTCAAAATAGACATTGCCCAGGTGTAAGATGGAGGCCAGGATGCGGAAGATACTGTCCTGGTCCTCACTGGTAAAGCCGAGCACCTCCATAGCAGCCAGCAGGCGGCGGAAATCATCTGCATCACTCTTACCAGCAATCTCGCAGTTCCCACCCTGGTTCAGGGGAAGAGGATGGGGTCAGTGTCCAGTCCTCAAGCTGAAGGCCCATTGGGTCCTGCTTTCCAGGAGGTTCTGAGGGGGCCCGGAACAGCTCCACAGAGCGTGTGAGGAGGAGCAGGAACTTGCTCCCTGATCACAGCCAGCATTAATAGAGGATGGGCTATATAGGCCAGTACCAAGCCATGCATTCTTCACCCACACCTCTATATAGTGGTGCTGTGTTGTCCCCATTTCCCAGAAGAGGAAACTGAGTTCCAGAGGGGGCATGTAGTACCATCACCTTGGCTAGTTCTGTTCTAGGCTCTGAAGAGATGAAAGATCAGGTGGGCTCCTCTCTCTACTGAGGCCCCATGTTCCTGTCCTCACTGCCAGAACTGTGGGGCTTTGGGGGCTTTGGAGCCACAGAGCAGGGTAGGCCCTTGTACATGCTCACCTGGTTCAGGTAGTAGTAGGTCTCAGCCTCCTGCAAGCTGAAGGCCTGTCGCAGTTGGGCTGGGAGGCCGGCCAGCAGCTCATAGAAAATATGATAATTTCTCTCGTTTTTGGCCTGCAGGGGAGGCAAGGTGGGTGCATAAAAGAGTCACTCAGTCACTCAGTCAGGCTCAGCTGTGCACATATAAACATGTCCATACACAGAGACCTGAAGGTTGGTTGGCATTTCTGGGGTGAGGTCTGAGAGCATCTTGGTGTAGTGGGTGCTGGCCTTACTTTGTTTGGAGACATAGGAACAAGCTCACCCATTTTCTCTTATGTAAACTACCCCTGCACACCTGGAGACATGTATCTCTATGGCCCAGATGTGCACACGCAGGCCTTCAGATGGTTCACTTGCCCATTTGGCTGAGGTCTTCTTGAGCCTGGTGCCCCATGGGACACCATGGGGACAGAACTCAAAGAACCCATGTGCTATCTGGAGACATTTAGCTACTTAAAAGGTAATGTTTCACAGACGAGAAGTGAAGCACTGAAGGGTGGAGTTGTGATTGGGGACAAGGGACTGCATAAAATAAAGCGGCTTCCTTGAGCAAGAGAGCTGGCAGCATGACGTGGAGATGGCAAAGGGCAGGGCCACGCATATACCCTGGTGTTCCTGGGGTGGGAACAGTGTGTTGATCTCCTCGGTAGGTATGAACCAACTAGGCTGTTGTGGTAGAAGAAGGGAGGTGACAGATCACAGGCTTAGATCACACACACACACACACATACACACACACACACACACACACACAAACACACACACCTCCACGTGCATACACATATTTGCTCATAATCCACTACTCCCAGCCCCAAGCTGGGCTCTGAGAGTTGGTACCACCCAGGCCTGTGGCCTGCCTACCTGGAACACGATCCTTGACTTCTCCAGCAGGTACTGAGAGGTTATGGCACCAGAGATCACACCCCTGGGGAAGCACAGTCAGCTGTTGGGGACTGAGGTGGCTCACTTAGCCTCAGGTGCTGCTGTGGGCTATGAAGGACTCTGCTAGGCCTCTGGGCTGTTACCATGGCCCTACTCACCCTTCTAGAAAGATTTCCACAAACTTCCCAAATCGGCTAGAGTTGTCATTCCTGACGGTTTTGGCATTACCAAAGGCCTCCAGGAGAGGTGTTGCCTCCAGGATCTGGACCAGGAAGGAAAGGTTATGGGAGAGATGGGTACTGGGGTCAGGGCATGACTCAAACATACCCAAATAGAGGCCTTCCCAGGGAACCCTTCCTTGGAGGGGTGACCTGG